TAAATTACGTGAATAATGTCGTAAATTACGTGAATAATGCTGTAAAATTACGAGAAAAAGGTTGTAAAATTACGAGATCAAAGTCGTAACATTACGAAAACAAAGTCGTAAAATGATGAGAATAAAGTCACGGCGAGAATAGTCCTAAAATTATGAGAAACAAGTTTTATTTTATGACAACTCTTCCAAGAATCCCTGTCTTCCCTAAAATGAGGAATGTGGGGCATCATGTGAAGTTATACTTTAGCATCGGTTTGACTAATCAGGAAATTTTTTAGCAGCAGCATCAAGCTGGGCAGGATGTCATAGTGGACTCTGGCTGCTGATTGGTGGAGCTGGTCGGACGTCATCTGCTGGGCGGAACTCCAAGCTTTCTATCTGAACCGGGTTGTTGAATGATGACTTCATTCTCGTAATATTACGAATTTATTCTCAAATATTACAATTTTATTCTCGAAATAGAAGAAAACAACTCTTTAGCCTGGCCCTAACACTTCGTCATAAGGATGTTAGACGTCTGAATGAGCTGCTTTTTAAATGATGAACACCAGGAACCAATAGGAAACATGACCAGCAGTACCAGCAGTTCAACCCTTAGAGGGCAGCACTGAGACTGTTTAGAGACACAATTTGCAGAATTAAAAATGTAAATATGAAAATGTTAAAAATTCTCAGAGCAACAGTAGAAGAGCGCCAAATAATCCTAGTTTATTCTGTTTAGATGTAGATAATGATGACCTGGGGGGGAAATGATCCCTGAAGGTCCAGAAGCTGAATGGGGGCGGGGCTTCCGAACCACCAGGACCTCCTGGAGGAAGCAGGAGGAACTGGGTTTCATTTAAACGGTACTTTCTGATTTACTGCACTTAAACAACCACGTGATCAGATCAAAGTTGGAATAACTTTTGGTTTGACTTAACCTGAGCGTCTCCTGTTCTGCAGTTGGAGCTCAGCCGCCTGGAGACAGAAGCTGTTCGGTAATCATGACCGATCCGAAGGAACATTAAAGGAACCGGAAGTGATCGGAAAGGTCGGAGGATCAAAAGACTTTAGGAGAACCTGAAGCTGACTGTGAATGCTGGAGCAGAGTGAGTTAGCAGATGCTAGGTCCAGTTAGTGGACCGTCCGGTCCGTGCAGCTCTATAAGCGGGACATTTACCGGCCGGATGATGCCCTCCAGGCTCCGCAGCTCTCCGCTAGATCCTCCTCATCATCATTTCTGAGGCTCACAGCCGACAACAGCCGGATTATCCGTAAAACTCCAGGCTGTAGTTATAAGACTGGCGGTGGGCTGGCGGAAGTGGCTCAAACACAACATCCGCTGGAATTTTCAAAATAATGTTCCTTTTCTTCTTCTCTGATTTTACCGGCTGGAGGCAAACAACC